CGCCTGCAGTTTCTGTGGGTGCTTAGCTCGGCCATCTTGGGCTTTTCTTGGGGAGGACTTCGACCTGTTACTGCTCCACTGCGTCGTTGGAGCTATTGCATGATTTTCGTTTTCCATTTCTCGTTTCTCCCTGAATTTTAGAGCATTTTACTGTATACCTTAGCATGATAAAATCACGAATCCAGGTGAAAATGCCTTAGTCCTGCGTCAGATCTGCCAGCCCTTCACCTCGGTCTAAATTTAGGGGAAAGGAGAAACTGCAGTGGAGACCCAGAACTAAATAGTGCGGTGTTTTCTGTGGGTATTCAAAATTTCCTTTCTCGATGTGTCTTCCCAACCTAGTTAATCACATTTTACAAGGGCTGGATCGTCCTTGGCTACTTAGTAAGAGACCAGTTTTGGAATCGTCTCCAAAAAAAGAAAGCGATGTCTAGGGGTATTAGAAACCTAGTGTTTAAAATCCTGATGTGTTGTTATCCGACAGAAAATACTTTGGGCAATGCATTTGTCAGCAATGAAAAAAAAAATCAGTACTGCTACCTCAAAACAACAGTTTGTAAACTAAGTGTGCACATTGATAGTGTCCATCAAATCGTCATGAGGTGACCGGATTCTGAGCTGTTTTCATAAAGACCCCACTGCTTACCAGATTTACAGTGAGAGACTGGAATCATAACTGTTTGCAGGGGCTGTTTCTTTCAACTGCAGACAAGTGGCCAAATGTATCATGGAGTTCAGCTCCAAAACCAACTGTCTGAATTCAAAATGGAGGATGAATATTTTAATAAGTGTGAAAGGCATAAAAGTCTTATCCATCACAAGCTAGAATGGTGCACTAAGACTGCCGGGTTTAGTGTCTAAATAAGAAAAAGGTTAATCTGCCACTTTGTCCTTTAGTTGTTTGGTCTGAGTCCATTTTTTTTTGTTGTTGTTGTTTTGTTTTTTGAGACAGGGTTTCTCTGTATTGTTTTGGAGGATCTCCTGGAACTCACTTTGTAGACCAGGCTGGCCTCAAACTCAGAGATCAGCCTGCCTCTGCCTCCCGAGTGCTGGGATTAAAGGCGTGCACCACCAACATCCGGCCCGAGTTCTTTTTTTTTTTTCAGTCTACCACCTCAGGCTAGTCTTGTCACTTATGATCCACCAGCTTCAGTCTCCCCAGGTGCTAGGATTACAGGCGTGCACTACCGTACCCTGCTTGGTCCAGCTTTCTTTCTTTTTGAGACAGACTGACCTTGAAGCCAATAGCCTGGCTGAGTGCTTGAGATGACAGTCCTTCAGAGAACCAGCTGTAAGAACTGTGAATGTTCAGCATGGATAGATGGTCTGGGATACCAGACATCTTATTAGAGGAACTGTGAGGGAAGAGATTTTATGTTTTCTCATCACTCTAGTCACAGAATAAGAACCAAGGGGTTCAAGTTACAATGAGGGTTTTCAAACATACAGAAAAACATGTGTATAGAATACATAGTTTCAGATGATCTATCTGAACTTCATTTGTTTGGACTGTTATCCAGAGAAAATCATGTATCAGAGGCTAAGCAGATGACCTGTAGGTCTTGCCATAAGCTTTGGAATTTGCTCAGGACAAGGAATGAAACATATACTATATTCTGACACAACAGAGGTTTTGAGTCCCTTATTGATTATTTTCCAATATTTCATATATAAGCAGAATTAATATTTCACAGCAATTCTAATAAATTGAGGCAAAAGTTCAAAAATTAACAGCCACAATAGTTTATTTACAATTGAACTCTTTATAAGATATTTACAAGACAGCCGACTTTACACATCAGAAATGGTATCAAAAGTATGAATTACAGCACAGACAACGATATGAAACGGGCATAAAACAAAGCTGAGGTGGAGAGACAAGCAATTTCTCTTTTAATTTATTAACACTAGCTTAAACTTGGTTAAAGAAAGAAATAAGAACTATGTTTTAGGAGAACTGCAGGGCCTTTCTTTCTATTGAAGACCGAATTTCACAGTGTTGTATCCCATGTAGGGAAAAACAAAACTAATTTTCCCCACATTCTTAACACACTGTAATTTCGCTCCTGGAACTTTGTTTCAACCTCCTTCTCAACAAACCTCAACATACCCAAACCAAAGGAAATCTAGGAGAAGACATAAAAAATATCAGGTCCTCAGGGAAAAGAGAACCAAAGCAATAGAATCCACTTAAGTCCTGCCAGATAGCACCTCATGGATTCCTCTCAGTGAGCAAAAACAGGATCTGAGGACTCCTCTGTGAGAGGTTAGGTCTGCTAACCCATACCCAAAGTAGGAATCTGACAAATCATAGTAGCAAGAAGAAACTGAGAGGGATCAAGAAACAAAAGAAAGAGACAACTGAGTGAGGTTATTCCTTGTGGGAGGAGCACATTATAAAGAAAAATAATATAGGTCAGAGTAGGAGCAGTAACCAGTTTGCCTCGTTAGAAAAAACAGAAACACACAAGTCTGGCCCAGTTTTTCTAGCTACACCCTCACCCTGAAGGCGTGAGATGGAAGCCCCCGTAGAGTAAGTCCTCTTTTGCTCTACATCCTTGCTGCAGTGAAGTTTAAGCAGCTTCACTGCAGAGACCACACTCCTACACGGATGGAATTACAAGTGAAAACCATAGCCACACACAAACACACAAAAGAGAATTGAGAGCAGCAAGATCATCCAAGAATACTACACGTACTGCTGGAATAATTCCTTTCAAAGTCAAACCCAGGGAGCAGAGATAACATCTTGAAAAAAAAGCTTTAGCAGTGGGAGGCCCCTGAGGAACTTTTTTTCTCTTCCCACAATGGCAACCCCATTCTCTCATGCTAAGCTGATGGGCCAGCCACACACCCTACATACCTTGGCTTCTCCTCTAAAAGTGCTAATAATCCGGGGACAATTCTCTTCAAGGATAAAAGCCCCTACCTCCTAGGAGATTAGACCCCTACTTGTTTTAATACAATAGTCCTGAAGACTAATGAAAGGCAATTCCTATATATAAGACCAAAAGTCTTGGCTCTATTTTTCTTCCAGATAGTTAACAGGGATCTTACACTGAGACCATAGTGGCCTGGGAGTGCTGTCCTTTTTTTTTTTTTTTTTTTTCTTTTGGTAACAAAACAAGGGCAGGAGATGGGAACCAAGATGGTACATGTATAAATCTATTTTTACTAAACAAATAGAGGTTCATTAGGTACAACTGTTTCAAGATGTAGACATCTGCCAGAAAGGAAGCATTTCTTTCCATACCCAGCCCCCCTCACCCCATCCTCACCAAATTTTCTACCTCACCACCAAATGTTTGGCTAATAGGATGAACCCCACTAAGAAATACTTGAGAAGTGATGTGACACAAGGACTATAAAGATTCTGGCATGCCATCCCCAAAGACAGTTTAGCACTGTAACTAGTTGTAAACTTATATCCCCAATCTCTTTTTCTAAACATTTTCTTATGGGGGAGAAGAACTTCAGTTATCCACTAGTTAAGAAAGTGATCAGTCCCACACTTCTTTCCACGTCCTTTATCAAAGAATAGTTTTGAGAGAACCAACTTTTAGGCAATGCTCTAATTATTTCCTCTCTGAGGATGACCTGCTTCATCTGTTATTCCTGCTTGGGCCCTAAAGCTCATGGTAAGGTCTTTCTGTTTTATTTTAGTGTAAAATCTACTATACCCCAACTATTCAGAAGGTGCACCAGGGAAGCAGGAGGGTCAGGGCAGGCACAGCTCCTACAAGGCAGGGGTTCCTCCATCTTTGACATGGCTAATAAAGAGCCCTTGTACCCCTTTAATATAGGCAAATGAGTAGAAGTGGCTCCTGAAACTCCCAAATCTACCACCCTATAGGATGAGAAGAGCTCATTTCCCCAAAAAGGAAAAAAAAGTCCCAATAACTCTCCATAATTCACAATTAGCCCAATGTAAGAGGTGTCGTTTGTTTTGTGAAGAAAACAAAACTAGAATGAAGGGAGTATGGAAAGGCATTACCAGTGAATGATAACATACATGAGGACATAGGTCACATATACAGGTCTCTGCCATCCTCTTGGAATGGCATGCTACAACTATCTGAAGACAGGGTTCTTGCCAGCACAGCTACTTCCTACACGTCCGGTGAGGTGTTTGCTTCTTCTGGATCTCCAACCTGCAGCGGCTTCGCTCATCCAACCAGGGTAGCTCAAAGTTCCTGGCAAAAAAAAAAAAGAGGAGAGCAAAGTGGGAACCCTGCTTCAAAGTCTAGCAATAGTCAGCTGATCACAGAAGTGACAAAATCATCTACTTGTGACTTAAAAAGCATTCCTACTTCCTAGCTTGTCATCAAAGCCATGTGGTCCCCATTTTATCTAGGCTTCCATAGAATTTGAAAAGGAAGTACAAATTACCTGAAAAGGGAAAGAGAAAACTTTTATACTTACTGTGGAGTTAATTTTGGTAATGGTCGTCCAAATGCTACAACAGGCAAGAAGGGGGTAATCATCAAACTTTCAACTATGGAAGAAAATCATACAGGACTTTGTTAGCAAGAGGTGAGAAATGCCAACAATATTATCACCTCCTTAGCACAGCTTACTCATCAGGACTAGCTGTGCTGTGGAAGTTTTACCCGTTTTCCTTGAAAAGTGTTTATTTATAAATCTACTTGCCTTACATTATGTGTTTATGAATGTGTCTGTGTGTGAGTTTGTGCATGTGAGTACAGTGCCCTGAGTCAGAAGACAGCGCTGGGTCCCCTGCAACTGGAGTTACAAGCAGTTCTGAGCTGCCCAATGTGGGTACTGGAAACCAAACTGGTCTCTCCAAGAACAGAAGTGCTCTTAACCACTGAGCCATCTCTCCAGCCCCAAAGTCTACATTTTTAATAGATACAACTTACCGTCATCTGGCTCAGGGAAAAATGAGGTAACCTCAGGCTCAGATTCCTGAATTCCTTTCTTTTTATACATTCTGAGCTGTAGTCGCTGTAAAATTCTTTGTTCCCTGATCCTCTGAATATCCCATCTGGGAAAAACCAGACAAACAGAAACAAACCCAGCATTACTACTTACCTAAAAATCGTCCTACAAAAACAATCCGTTCTCCAAATGCTAGAAGATCCTATTTAACTCCTCTAGATGGGATAAAGGGAACTGACTGCCTGGATGAGGAAGGACTCTTTGGGCCTAGTCGTCTAGAGTATGTATTGCTGTTCAACACTAAGTAGTACTGAGGGAAGGCATCAAAGAAAGGGCCAACATGTTTGTTTGCCTATAAGGACAACTAAGATACTCAGCTAACTAGGACACTAGTACTACATGAATGCTAAGTGCCCTAAGACTCTCCCCAATCTAGAGGAGGGAGTCTCGGGTGTTCCTGGGATGGGGATCTTGACCTTACCTTTTCCTTCTCTTCTCATCTAGCTCCAGTTTTGCATGCCTCTTTGAAAACACACTGTCATCCAGGTTCTGGAAGAGCAACAGTAGGGGTAAGCTACTTATGACCATGTTGGAGTAACTCACAGTTTTTCAGGAATATAAATTTTTTCACTTTCTGAGTTCTTGTAAAAGAAGAGGACTCCTTCCTTACTCCTATCTTTTCCAAAATCCCAAATTTCAAATTTAATTCCTGTAACTTTTCAGGTAAGTCATTTCAAACACTGGTGAGAGGGCCAGAAACTCCTCCTACCTCTATACTTTGTAAGAGTCTGAATTCAAAATATCCATTTTTCAATAATCAAGTAAGCTTGGAACACAGAATTACACTGCTGTACTCAGTATGGAACCTACCTTAGTTTGGAACACTATCTCAATACTGATTTTGAAAAATGACTTAATTACTTTAGAGCCCACTTTTCTCATCCATACAATGACAAACACAGACCATCTGTGTTTTTCTGGTCTTTTGTTTGTTTGTTTTTCAAGACAGGGTCTTTCTGTGTATCCCTGGCTGTCCTGGAACTCACTCGGTAGATCACGCTGGTCTCAAACTCACAGAGATCCGCTTGCCTCTGCCTCTTATTGTGCTGGGATTAAAGGCGTGCGCCATCACTTCCTGGATTTCCTTTCTAGTCTTAAGACTTCTTTTTAATCCATCCACAGTTATAAGAAATATCAAAGCACTTGGGAGGCAGAGGCAGGCAGATCTCTGTGAGTTCGAGGCCATCCTGGTCTACAGAGCGAGTTCCAGGAGAGCCTCCAAAACAATACAGAGAAACCCTGTCTCGAAAAACCAAAAAGAAAAAAAAGAAAAAAAAGAAAAAAAGAAATATCAAAGTCCCCCATCCCCCTATGCCTTTTTTGAAGACAAGATTTCCCTATATTGCCTAGACAAGTCTCAACATCTTAAATTCAAGTAATTATCTTGCGTTAGTTCCTTAAGCAGCTGAGACTACTGGTGCCAACAAGGGCCAGTTGGGCACCCTATATTCTACTGTTTCCAATTCTCTTCCTTAACAGTTCTTAGTACTTACCTCCAAAATGTCTGAAGGATTTGGGTCCCTTAGAGGCTCTACTGAGTGGTCCCTCCAAGAAGGAACTGAAAAAAAAAGAAAAAGAAAAAGAAAAAGAGGAGGGGTGGAACCACCCTTAAATCCAAAGTCACACAACTGTCCAACTATTCACTAGGACAAGCGTCTATCCCCAGATAAGACAGTTACCAAGTGATAGGAATCCATTCTATGGCCTCACCAAAGCCATAGTCAAGTGTCCTCACTATGGTATATAAAAGAACCTAAAATGCCATTGCAGTCTGCCAAACTCAGGATCACAAAAAGCTCTAAGCCAATACCTGACAATTCATACAATGGATGCTACTGAAGTTCCTGAAAAGCAACTGAAATACGTTGTCATTTTGATGTCTACAGCAGTGTCAAACACCAAGGAATCTCACTCTTCCACATCCAACAGACGGAGAATGTAGCTCCCAACCAGCCACCATCCCACCAATCCCCACCCCAAGCCCAGCCAGCAATTCCTAATCTACTCACCAGCCAAGACTGAAGTTTCTCCTGCAACACTTGATGGCATCAGACACCCTAAATAATGCAGGAAAGAAGAATCATCTCAGTGTAAAAAGAAAAAAAGCCCATACCCAAAATGGAGGAGAGGAGCATCACTGATGTTCTCACTAGGAAGCCATTTTGTTTTTTGAGTTGTTCTTTTGAGAATTTCTCTCTGGGGAAGGGGAAGAGGGAACAACAGACAAAAGAAAAGAAAATAAGCCCACCACTTTTTTTTTTTACACTGAGACGACTTCTTTTCTTCATTATTTAGGGTGGTTTCCCTGCAACAGTTGATGGCCAAGGATATCAAACCTTAAACTCAGAACATGGCAGGTGAGTAAAAGTTGACCCTATTTTTCAAATAAATAGATCAGTGTTCTCAGAACTTACATATGTAGTCTTCTTAAACAGTTTCCTCCTCCCTCCACACAAACTACCTTGCTGGCCCAGCCTGAACAACATGCACAAAGACTTTGGCTTCCTTAGGATAAGTCATTGAGACTTCCTCTTGAGATAGGGGCATCATAAAATAAGGGTTCACACATTTATACATAACTCAGGTTCCTCAAGAGACTGGGATCTCCCAGTCACAGTCACTCATATTGTTATGCCCACAATCTCAAATGTGTTTGGAACTTGCTCTACTAGTAGACAGGGTTTTCAAAAACAGCCAGTCACATAGAAGAACTCCAGGATCAAGCCATTTCCTAATTCCGGGTGGAAAGTTGCTTCATGGTTTCTCCTAAATTGTCACACAGCATTGCTGTAGCAGCAAAAATTAACTATTAAGATGAACCTGTTCAACTGACTGAAACAACTAAGAGTATCTGAATCTAGAGAGGACTCTGGTCTGTCTCGTGTACTCAAGTGAGGCCTAATAAAGGTTAGATCATATATCTGTCTTCCCCACAACAGCCAAACAAAGCCTGGAGATTGATTGCTCACATCTTATTGGAATGGATTTCCATCCCCATCTCTGCTATAGTAAGGCACAGGATTAGAAACTTAGGTCTAAGACTCTACCTAAGAAAGGATTCCCACCATTACCCAAGAGCACCCACAATAACTGTCATAGACTAATATGACACAATTCAAGACACATCACAGACACTGGTTCATATAGAAGGTGGGGATCATCTCTGTGTGGAAGCCATTAAGAAAATAAACAGAAATAAAGACCAAGTTCCCATACCCCACCACCTCCCCAAGCAGCTCAGATATCCCAAGATAGTCCTTATTGTTTGAAAAATAGTTTGTAGACCATTTTATTTAAATATATGAACAACCAATGGGCTACTGCAATCCAAGTCAACTCTTCACATCTTAGAACCTTGTGAAGTGTAGTAAATAAGACTGTTGGCCTTTGGCAGATCCCTCCTGCCCCCAGACCAGGACATAGAGATACAGATAAATGTTTATATAGTTAGAGAGCGGAGGCCCAGGTGAAACTCCCCACCCCAAGCTGGCTCCCCAACCAAAAATTACCATTGGCCCCTGAGAACACCCAAAGACCACCCTCCCAGGTTTCACACAATATCAATGCAGGAACAGTCGTGCACGGCAAAGTGTAAGTTCTATGCATTTCACAGCACAGAAAACCCTTCTTTCGGAGGGCATGCAAGTTGCCGGAGATTACACCCCCAAGTCTGGTGCTCTTGTGATGAGCAACTTACTGGCAAATACATCTCCCAGTGTTGTAAGCAGACACATACATTGAGCACATTTTGCTGTAATTCCATCTATTTGCAATGCCTGCACAGTGTCTGTCTCTGGCTGTTAACTTACTCATTCTTGACAGAACTCTGCTTTATTGATTGCACTTTTTAAAAAATGCCAAAGGCATTTCACACTTGTTAGCTTGACCGCCACCACTAGGGTATAAGAGCAAGTGTTCTCTATGCCTTACTTGCTACAGTCTCCTCCTTCTTTGGAGAGGATTCCCGTAATGGTAACGGTGATGGGGGAGGCTGGTGCCAACGACACAAATACATTTCTGTGGTGGAAAGGTACGGCAAATCTTCCATCTCGCTTGAGAAGGCTTTCTCCTTGGGGTGGGTGCTGGGTCCCTTTTGGGGAGTGGAGAGTCTTGGTGGGGTATCCACTGAAGACCGGGGCTTTTCTGGGGTTTCTTGGCTCCTCAATTCACGTTTACAAACAGTTTCTGATAAGGAACCACATGGTTCCTCTTTAATAGGAGAGTGCTTAGGAGTTTTTGTTTTGACTTTTGAAAATTCAGGAGCCAGCTTTTTAACAGGAGTCTTTCTTTCTGTATTTCCAAATGGGGTTTTCCTATTAGGTAGGAAAGAAATGTTATAAAATTAATTGACTTTTGAATAAAATTTGATTAGAATATGTTTGAAGGCAAGAGCAGTATCCAGGTACCTAACATCTATTGTTCATTTGGAAGACAGGGGCTGCAAGTGTCATGCTTGAAAGTATATGGAACAGGTCTTTAGTAAATGAGCAAGCATCTATGATTAAGAATATCCTAATTAGCCGGGCGTTGGTGGTGCACACCTTTAATCCCAGCACTTGGGAGGCAGAGGCAGGCGGATCTCTGTGAGACCAGCCTGGACTACCAAGTGAGTTCCAGGACAGCCTCCAAAGCCACAGAGAAACCCTGTCTCGGGGAAAAAAAAAAAAAAAAAGAATATCCTAATTAGCCGGGCGTTGGTGGTGCACGCCTTTAATCCCAGCACTTGGGAGACAGAGGCAGGCGGATCTCTGTGAGTTCGAGGCCAGACTGGCCTACAGAGTGAGTTCCAGAACAGCCTCCAAATAATACAGAGAAACCCTGTCTCAAAAAACCAACCCCCCCCAAAAAGAAGAATATCCTAATTGAGCCAGGTAGTGATAGCACACGCCTTTGATCCCAGCACTAGGGAGGCAGAGGTAGGTGGGTCTATGAGTTTGAGGCCAGTCTGATCTACAGAGCAAGTTCCAGGACAGATAGGGCTACACAGAGAAACCCTCTCTTGAAGAAAACATACCTAATTATTCTACTCCCTACTAGATTAAAACAAAAACAAAAAAACACACATTTCAAAACAATTTCTCACCACAGAAACTTAAGGAGAGGGGTTATTTGTTTAAAACAGGGTCTCTATTGCCTGGGCTGGCCTTGAACTCACAACAATCCTCTTGCCTCAATAACCTAAGTGCTATGATTACAGGTGTGAGCCACTATGCCCCTAACTAGCATAACAGACTTCTCAATTCAGGATATAATTGTTAGAAAGCCAATCCATAAATCCCAATCCCTCACTCTCAGTCATTAGGAACTGTTTCTCATCTTGTTCAGATAGTTGGAATAAAGTTATCAGCACACCTCTTGTGTCCCTTTCCACTCCGTCCACATGAGAAAGGCTTAGAAGGCAGAGCCTGGGATGTCTCGCAAAGCTCCGGCTGGCGCTCCAGTTTAATTTTCTCAGACAACTCTGTTTCCTCTCTCTCTTCAGTTTCATAGCCCTGAAACAGCTTGTGCCTTTCTTTCTCGTTATCCCTCTTTACCAGCTGCATCCGTCTTTCCATACGTTCAATCCGAGCAAGGAGCTAGAAGAAAGTGACAAGATGCCAACTTACACACAAAAGTTAAACAGGAGCACTTAGCCCCATTTAGAAATCAGCAGTTTTCTGCATGTTGCCATGGACCCTACCCATTCAACTCAACTCTACTTTGAATTGGCAGACATGAATCTGCATAGCTTTCCTTAAACCCAATAAAGGCAAAAACACTTAATTGTAGGAGTTAGTCTGGATAGTAAGAGGGATGGATGGGGCAATTCTAAGCTCATTCTTCTGAAAGAAGATCCTCTCCACTGGGTGGGGCCAGTGTGCCCTTTAATGACAAGGTCTCTACTACAGCTAGCCATGTGGTTCCAAGTCATTTAGGAGTCTTAAAGTTAACCTTATATATGTGTGTGTGTGTTCTTCACTGCTGTATGTGGTGTTAGGGGTAGAACCAGGCCTCATGAATGTTGGCAAGCACTCTGAGCACCACTGAGCTACATTCTCAGCCCCGTGTTCTTTTAAAGTGTCCTAAGGTTATCCAAATTCTATATGCTCTATGTTCACTCCAAAACTCTAGATACAATGGAATGTTCAAACAGTACAGTATGAAGGAATCAGGCACACAGTGTCACTAGGGATAACAGTATCATATAAAAACGGGTGTGCATATTTGAGGAAGTACTTCTAAAACACTACAGTGTAAAGAATTATAATAGATTTCAGGAATATAATTCCCCCAAAATGACTTACTTTTCCTTCTTTGCATTTGAGACAACAAAAATGATTTATCTAAATAATTGTTAAAATTATCTTCATTCTATTTAAAGAGAACCACAAAAATCAAACAGAAAATGGAAGTCTGTTGTCATCAAAAACTTCCTATTAACTCAGTTTTGACAAAAAAGTGCCACTTACACCATACTATAAGAATTTTGCCTAGGTTAGACAGTGATACTAACCCTGACTTTATTACATCCATTGCATAGATTTCGGTAGAGGGCAAACAATGACTGGAATAAGAGAAACAGGCTTAAGCAATGCAAAGCCTGTAGTACATAAAAGAAGCAATGAAAGCCAAGTTTAGACTGATAATTTATCCTCAACTCACCCCACTTTTTCCTACCTCAAAAAGCCTACGGAGGGGGGCATTACCTCCTGAACTCAGCAGGAACCCCACAATCAGCAGTGCCCCCTTCAGCCATTCTCCCATTTCATCTTCTTTTTGATTCACAGCCTTAGCATTACTTAACCATGTTTTGTGGGTGACATATTCTTGGTTTCTTTTACTGATCTTTCTCTTCCCACGGAAGGAAGGATATGATGTGTTGTAATTACAGTACCATCACACCCCTAGACTGCAGTACAGTAGCTGAGCAGTGCCACCTCCATGTTGAGCAACTTCCACAAATCAATACTGAGGTGTTTCAATAAGACCTGCCCCAGCTCCCATTCCACCCTGCAGAATGTAATCCCCAACCAAACAGTCGGCGGATGGCGATTCACTTAGAAAACAAACAAAATGAACTGCCCTTCTGCTCCCTGCTCGCTTGTGGTGCACACAGCCCCAGAGGGAGAGCTGAGTGAGAAAGGGAGCTGCAGCCTCAACACGAAACCATGTTTAGTTTTAGGCAGCTAAAAGGTGTGTTAGCACAGCAACACCCACCACACCAGCTTCCCAGTGTGTGAGGGAGCGTGCTTAACATGGAGGTACCCAAGACTGCTGCAGCAGTGAAAACAAGCCTATGTAGGCATGCTCCTCTGAAGTGCAAACAAATAAACGACTTCTCTACTAACTCGAGATTCAAAACCGGGTCTGGGAGGGGAGAGGATCTATGAATACCCTGGATAAGCTCATGTCTCAAAATCTTAGTTTTTTCAACGGACTTGGTCAGTAGGGTTTTATAACTCAGATTCCTACCGAAAAGCTACCTGAAATCAAAGGCAGCGATTCTCATTTAGGAAAGCTAAAATAGGATTCCATATAAGCCATCTTTACCCTCTACCGGCTCTAACCTATGACAACCCTCCTGGCCAAAGATGCTGCAGCAGTGGTTGGAGCAACAGCTGTTATGTCCCTCTCTACAATGCGTTTCTATCGCAACAGCGCTTTAATTTAACCCCTTCTACACAGCCACATCTGCACCCCACCCTATCATTTTAACCCCTCATAAATCGGTCTTTTCCCACTCTAAACGTCTTTCCCACAAGTCTGGGGCTGTCATTTTAAATTAACCCTTTAGCAACCGAAACCTTCCTCCCGCCCCAGACACACACACATCCTGGAGGTTGCCCTTTAACCCTTCCCTCCGACCCAACGTGTCAGTGAGGCAGGCTCCTAACGACCCAGCATCTAAGGCTGGTGGCCAACTTCCTCTAACCCTAACCAAGCGGGGACCTCTGCCTCCTACAGCCCCCTTCCCCCGAGCATGCGCACAACTTGCTCCCCGTCCCTAAAGCAGATTAACTCCTCCCGTACCGTGTCTCTCTCGGACTTCAGCTCCTCGATCTCTTTTTCCTTGGCCTGCAACTGCTGCTGCTGCTGTTCGATGAGGTCCAATTGCAGCAGAAGGATCTGTTTGAGGCAGGCGGCCTGACTGGAGGCTCCCGAGCCGCCGCCAGCCCCGAGAGGGCTCTTCCTCATACTCTTCCATCTGCCCTCGCTGGCCGCCAGGGTCCCGGCAGTGGCGGTGGGCGCGAGGGGAGGCGGCCCGGGCAGAGGTAGTGGTGGGGGTCCCGCCGGGTCCGAGGCGGTGGCAGCTGGGGGAGCCGCCCCACCCTTGTCCCCAGCCCAGGGCGTAGGCTCTTTGGCCGCCGCCACGAGAGAGCCCGTCTGAATGGGCAGCACCGCCTGATACTTGGGCCGGGGGCTGCAGCCGGCGCCGGCTGCGACTGGCTCCCCGCCGATGCCGGCTTGTTTGGTAGCTGGGGGCGGACAGGGCAAGGGCACCGAACCGCCCCAGCTCTCTTCCTGCTGCCCGGGGGCCGCCCCGGCCGGGAGTAACAAGCCCCGGCCCTTGCCGCCGCAGCCGGCTGGAGAGGGCGCGGGACTCCCGCCCTGGGAGGAGGCCAGCGGGGGCCCCGGCTCCTTGAGCTTACGATGCCGGGGGAGGAAGTGGGCTTCGGCCGCCCCGGACTCGTCCTCCGGCCCGCCCAGCGCCGCAGCCCGCTCGTAGTCCAGTCGCTGCTCGGGGTTGCCGCCGGCAGGAGCCGCGGCCGCCTTGAACACTGCGGATCTCATGGTCATAGTGGTCCGGAGCGGCGCGGGGGACCGAGACGAAGGAGGGGGTGGGGAAGGGGCGAGGTGCGGGGGGTCGAGGACGGAGGAGGGGGAGGGGAGTTTGGCGGGCTCGCCTCAGCAGAGCGGCCACAGGCCTCCGCTAATGCGGCTTCTCCGAGGCCCGGGCGCCATCCCGCCGCCGAGCGGAGAAGTGGAGGCCGCGGCTGAGGCCCGCCGCCGACCCATGGGGGCCTCGCCGCCGCCTCTGCTGCCGCCACCGTCGCCTTCGCCGCAGAGGCAGGAGCTCGCACCCAGCCGCCCCCGAGCTCATCCCCGGAGCTCGCTTCGGCCCCCCCTGGCCCGGCCGGGCCCGCCTCGTCTCCCCACCCCGCACCCCCCCTTCCCCGCCCCGGCCCCCCGCCCCGGAGCTCGCCTCAGCCGCCCCGAGCCTCCATTTCCCCCCCGCTCCTCCTCGGGAGGGGGTGGGAGGGACGGGTCCGCCCAGAACCCTCCTACTCCGGGAGGGGGGGTCTGCCGCCTCCCCCGGGGGTCTCCGCGGCTACGGGTCCCCCTCCCCCACAGTCACCCCCGGCGCCTCAGCGTTTCCCTTTAAAAAAAACGGAGCCGCCGCAGCCGCCGCCGACCGGAGCGCGCATGCGCCGAGAGGGCAGCGGGCGGGAGCGAACCGGGAGCGGAGTGGAGGGAGGCGGGTAGCGCTATTGTGAAAGGGGCCGCCGCCACGAGGGGGAGGGGACCGGGGCGCGGGGGCCCACGAGGGGAGGACGGGGACGAGGGCGCGGACGCTGGAGCGGGCGAAGGTGGGCTGCAGAGGCAGGGGCGGGCTGGGGGGAGGAAGAAGGGAGAGGGCGGCCGCTGGTGGCTGGGGAATGCGGAGGATCCCCGGAAAAACGAAGCGCGAGAGAAGGGTTGGGAGGAAGGAAGGAGGGAGATGCGCCCGCCCCTCGCGGTCGCCTACCGACCGCTCCGCTGCGCCTGCTGCCTGCGTCGGGTGGCCCTTCCCCGGCAGCCTGGCATCGCGCCTGGCCCAAGCCGGAGCCCCACGCACCTTCCGGACCAGCCCCGACCCAGGCTCCCCTTGGAGCCTGCTGGTGTTTCATGGAGTGGAAGGTAAAGCTTCCACCCCGTAGGCTTCAAGGCGGTCCCACACGGGCTGGGAAAGAAATGAAGTTCTTTGTCTCTAAGGGATCCAGCACAGAAATGGAGGGACCTCTGGTTCCAGAAGCAGCAAAATCCATGATGTCTGCTGCCCAGGGAGTTCACCACAACCTTCTTAGGGTGAACCGCTGCCAACTACCAACAGTTCTTTCCCAACAGCCATGTCCCCAGACTTGAGCTCCGGCTAGCATCTTCTGGAAGAAGGTGCAGGAAATGCTATGAAGAGCTGAATGCTTTTATTAGGACTAAGCGTTTTTTAGGGCCCTCTGAGCACTGTTTCCATTTCTCCAGGTTCATAGTGTCTATGTGTGTGCCGTCATTCTCCAAGTAACTTTAGCCACCAAGCTCTAACAGGTCCCTATGGAAAATCTTGTAAATAGTTGTAAATTAATTATTTTTCTGTCTGAAGTGCACTTATGGAGGTAGCCTGGTGTAGTGGTGCTAGCCTTTAATCCCAGCACTTGTGAGATAGGAGAATTTCTGTGTGTTTGAGGCCAGCCTTTCTACATGGCGTGTTCCAGGACAGGCAGGGCTACATGGAGAGACCCCGTCTACAAAAATAAATAGTTCTGGAATAGAGAGGACGATTTAAAAGCTGCTTGTTAGAAACTTCCTCTGCTTTGGGGGCTCGAACCATGAAACACTGAAAAGCTTAAGGGAATGGTTGGAAAATCAGATTCCCAGCCCTCTTTCTTTCCATCAGCCTGGCCGTGGGTCTGCCTGAGGGATAAGAGGGAACTGGAGGGCAGGAGTTGAGACGTTTGTAGAACGGTCTTTCTCCACACCATGTCATTATTAATTGACATACACTGAAACCTTCCAGATTTGAAGCCTGTTGCACTCTTACTCCAAAACCATATCTCCAAGTGTCTAGTCTAGAATGTACCCAACTGGGTGTCTAATAGGCATTTCAACGTCAAGCTTTTGACTGCTACCTGAGTCCTGCTTCCCCATACCCAGTAAGTCAGCTCATTTTACTTTCAAAATACAAATCCAAAATGCCCCCTTCTGTGTCATCTCCACAACTTCCACTGTAATGCAAACTACAATCTGCTTTTTTATTTATTGTCTTTTTTTTTTTTTTTTTTTTTTTTGGTTTTTTGAGACAGGGTTTCTCTGTATTGTTTTGGAGCCTGTCCTGGAACTCGCTCGATAGACCAGGCTGGCATCGAACTCACAGAGATCTGCCTGCCTCTACCTCCAGAGTGCTGGGATTAAAGGCGTGCGCCACCAGCGCCTGGCTATTTATTGTCATTTTATGGAATGCTTGTTATTAGTTGTTCTCAGTCTAAAGCCTCACAGCTTGCTTGGAGTAAAAGCAGCCATTGTAATGGCCTGAAGATCTGGCCCTTCACACTGCTGTGGACTCCAGGCTCTTATGCTCTCCTCCACGACTCCTGCCATATTCACCGCATGTGTCTGTCTGCCCAGTCCCTGCATGTGCTGATGTCCCTGCATGTGCTGATGTCCCTGCATGTGCTGATGTCCCTGCATGTGCTGATCTCCCTGCATGTGCTGATCTCCCTGCATGTGCTGATCTCCCTGCATGTGTCACTTTATCACATATCATCCTCATGACCTCCTCACTTCCTTTGGCCCTTTGCTAAATGTCATCTTTTTTTAAGGTTTATTTATTTATTATGTATACAGTGTTTTGTCTGCATGTCTGTCTGGCACCAGATCTCATTACAGATGGTTGTGAGCCACCATGTGGTTGCTGGGAAATGAACTCAGGACCTGTGGAAGAACAGCCAGTGCTCTTAACCTCTGAGCCATCTCTCCAGCCCCCTAAATGTCATCTTTTAAGTGCTGACCTTTATTTTTTCTGCAAGATTTATCACCATCTAATACATAATTTGTCCTGCATTATCCTCAACAACTAATATGTGAATTTCATACGTTGTTCACTGCATGTATCTAGACCCATACCTGTTGCAAAGTAGGCTCTTAATTGTAAGTCGACTTGAAGACTGTTAGTTTGGGTGTGAGACGATCAGTAGTTAATCTAGGGTGCTAGTGGCATAGGGATATATAAACTATCAGTAGAGAGTGAGCAGAGCCCAGCTATTTGGGAAGACTTAGTACCATCGAAAGTTCAAGACTTCCCAGGGAACAGCGACAGGCGTGTGCTTTGGTTCAGTCGTAGAGTGCTTTTTCCTTACATAGCATCTACAAAGGTTCAGTCCTCAGTATCACATTAAAAAAAGATTGGTGAGATGGCTCAAAGGGTAAAGAAGTTGCCACCAAGCATGAGAACCAAAGTCAGGTCCCTGGAACTCAAATAATGGAAGGAGATAAATTGTCTTCTGACCTCCACTTTTACAGTGAGTGTACAAATGCCAAACATAAATAAAATAAGTGTAATATAAATTCATAAAAGGAGAAGCCAAGGGCTGGAGAGTTGGCTTAGGGGTTAAGAGCACTTGCTGTTCTTAGAGAGGATCCCAAGTTCAATTCCCAGCACCCACATGATGGCTTACAACCACCTGTAACTCAAGTGCAAGGGGCTTTGACTCCCTCTTCTGGAAGGCACACTTGTAGTGTGCTTACAAAAAAAACCATACATATGAGTTAAACATTTTTTTAAAAGTTTAAAAAGAGAGGGAAGCCAAGGCTGTGGCATGAAACTACAAGAAGCAATCATGGGGTTGGTGAGCTGGTTCAGCAGGCACAGGTGCTTGTCCTGCAAGCCTGGCCATCTAAGTTAAATTCCAGCACCTGTGTAAAGGTGGAAGGAGAGAAGCAACTCCACAAGATTATCCCAGCTTCCACAGAATGCTGCCACAAGCTCCCTTCCCCCACAGGCACACACATAATAAACCCAATCCAGCATCATTAGTATCACTTGATAACTTGGATATGCAAATTACAGGTCCCACCCTAGACCTAGCCATTCAGAAGTTCTGGTTTAGTTTTTTGGATTTTTTTTTCCCGGGGTTTTGAGGTTTTGGGTTTTTTGTTTTGTTTTGTTTTTGTTCTTTTTTTGTGTGTGTGTGTGTGAGACAGGGTCTTGAGTAAACCAAACTGGCCTCCAACTCCTGATTTTCATACTGCTACCTCTTGAGTGTGGGATTACAGGCAGGCACCATCATGCTAGGCTGAGGCTACTCACCTACTCTTGAAGTAGTGACTATTTTAGACTTGGCTGACCGTAAAGACTTTTGTTTTAAATCTTAAATTCTACTATTGTAGTGCAAAAGTAGCCCCAGTGGAATGATATGAATGTGGTCATTTTCCAGTATAACTTTATTATATGGTATTTGTAGTCCTCATAATTTTGTTTGGAGTTTTGAGATGAGGTTGTGTGTGTGTGTGTGTGTGTGTGTGTGTGTGTGTGTGTGTGTGTCCCAGGTAGCTTCTAATTACTGTGTAACTGACAAGGATCTTGAATTCATTTTCCTGCCTCTATCTCCTGAGTGCCAGATAGCATTTACCATTCACCACAGGGCAAGTATATTCAGTGCTGGAGGTCTTACCCCAGGGCTTCACAATTGCTAGGCAAGTTCTCTACCAACCTTACATCCCCAGCCCTATTTCTAATAATCTTAATTTACAGTCTCATTTTAAAATTTGCAACTATTACAAATTCTTGGTTTGTTCGTTTGTGATAGGGTCTCATTATGTAGCCCAGGTTGGCCTGGAGCTCAGAGTGACAGGCCTGCCTCTGCCTCCAGAGTGCTGGAAACAAATCTTAGTTTGTCAGGCAGACCAAAAGGTGTTGGGCCACCAGGCCTGAAAGTACATACCTGTAATCCTAACACCCGAGATGGAAACAGGAGGATTAAAAGTTAGAGGCCAGCTAAAGTATATAGCAAGAGCATATATATATATATATATATATGTTTGTTTTTAAAGTGCTGCATCTAGAATAAATTGTGGGGGGGGGAGAGCACTGTCTAGTACCAGTAGCCATTGGTGCAAGGTGTGTGGGAACAGTTTCTATTGGAGATTTAGCTCTTTTGTGTTTGCTAAAAAGTCCTAGACATCGAATCCAGGACTCCATGAATGCTAGGAAAGTGTTCTACTACAGAGCTATATGCCTAGCCTGATTTTGACTCATTGAGACAGTTTCACCAAATTGCCCAGTCTGACCTTAAACTGTGAACTTTCTTTCGATCCACTGCCCTAAAATATACTGTCTCTTGTGAGATGAACGATGCCAATAAATTAATCGATGGTAGTACATTTTAAATATCTTTACCAGCAGATAAATTACCAGCTGGTAATCCTATATCAGTCCCCAACTTTTTTTTCCTGGAAACTTTTCAGCCCTAAAATCCAAAGTCTACAATTTCACTGCATCAAACTAAATAAACATACTTTCTCCCTTAAGTGAAGACTGAACTCTTTGGATTGGCAGCCTGATTGTGCCTCAACTCAAAGGATAGACCACCAGAAACCTAGGAAGGTCTTTCTGGGTTTTGATTTTTGGATTATTTTTTCTTTTTCGTTTTTTTTTTTTTTTTTTAGGCTGGGTGTCATTCTGTAGCCCAGACCGACCTCCAACTCTTTCTGACCTTCCACTGCCTCCCAAAGTGCTGAGATTACTACTACAGGTGTGAGCCTCCAAGCCAGGCAAAGAATTACTTTCATTGGAATTCTTACCCAAGCTTCTGTGACTCCTGAACTTAATTAAACACACAAGGAAGTGAAGTTTCAAAGTGTAAAGGCCAGGAGAGGTATGGTGGGGCACACCTCTAATCCCAGCCCTGGAAGGAGGTATGGAGGCCAGAGGACTTTGAGGTCAGTCTGTTGTACATAAGGAATTCCATGCTAGCCTGGGCTACAATATGAGAGACACTGTTCTAAACAAACAAACAAAAAAAACTAAAAGCCGTGTCAGTTGCGAGGGAACCTAAGAGGAAGCAGTGCTTAATACCGATAAATCAAGTCCAAAACTATTTTATCTCTAGTGAGATAACCACTTTGCCCAGTAGCTGCAAGTCTGGGGA